CTATCTCTATTACGCCTTTTCTATGGAACTGATCTGTTCTTTGTCTATTTTTATCCATTTCTTTTTCAATTCTTGTGTGGTTTCCCGAAGATTTTTCGTTCCGATTTCTTTGGCTGTTGTGTGGTTTGTCTATTTTTGTTTCGTTTTTCCCGGATCTAGACGACTCTTACCTGGTTTTCCCTAATCCTAATTCTATATATCCATGTTGTGGTCTCGCGTAGGGTTTGTCCTCGTTAGGGAAAGGTTGATTCTGAAAAAGGTTGTTCGCGGTTTTTAGGATCTGTTCTTTGGTAGTTTTTTTTTTTTTTTCATATAAAAAGAGATCTATTCTTGTTTTCTTGGTCTGGATCTCAGATCTGTTGCTGGTTGGGAAAATTTTTGAAGTTTTTTGTCCAAAAAATTAGCTGAAAGGTTATGATTTTGTGTTTTTGTTCATGGAAATTGGATTCTTAGCTCAGATCTGTTGATTCTAAACTTAAAGAGATTTGGATCTGTTGCTTGGCTATAGTTTTAGCATTGATAGAAAGGATTTTTTTACTAGTTCTCGATCAGATCTGACTAATTATGAGATTTTGAGCTTTGATTGAATGAATATTTGGCTAGTTTTCCATTAGATCTGACTGTGTTAGAGTTGCTGTGTATCGATTGTCTCAACACCGTTTGAATCGGGATATTTGCAGGCGTTCTTCTGTGGATCTGCCAGTTTCAAAGATGAATCATTATATTGTTAAGCAGAATACGTTTATTTCACGTGAGGAGACTAAGGGCTTTGCCTCAATCTCTGATCTGAAGGACCCAATTGTCTGCCCAAAGCCCAGGCGACTTGCAATTCTTGCTAACAATCACATTAAACAGCCCTTAAGATGGCACCAAACTGAGTTTTGTGATTCAAAAGCTGGGGCAGATCTCCTAGATATCATCTTAAAGAAGGCAAGTTCTAATTATAAGTTCAATATTTGAATATGATTTGGTATCATTATCATTCATTATAGAGCTTTGGTTTGTTGTCTGGATTTCAACCTTGTTTTCTTTCTGTTTATCGTACAATATGATTGACTTGAACGTTGAATGGCACAGGGGTCGGAACAATCGAGCAGCCACGTAGCTTCGTCGCCCCCATATTTTAGTGGGTCTCCGCCGAGCCGGGCTTCGAACCCATTAATCCAAGATGTGCGGTTTGGAGATGAGAGAGTGAGTCCTATGGCAGCATTGCCTGCATACTCCCCATCAGGTCTGTCATCTCCGTCGTCGGCATCATCGAAAGGAGGAGGGTGTGCGAGGATGAAGTTTGGTCTAAAACCGGCTGCAGTTAGAGTAGAAGGATTTGATTGTCTTAGTAGGGACCGACAGAATTCTAGGATCCCTGCAGTTGCTTGAAAACAAAAAAAAAAAAAAAAAAGAAACCTCCATGAATGGAAGTGTAAATAGAGAATGGAGCTTAAAGAGTGTGCTGCAACAAACATTTCAACCACAGGCCTAAAGCTTACCTTTTAACAACCAGAGAATTTGAGAACCCATCATCTCTAGTAGTAGTAGTGTACATATAAGAAGATGTTTTTGCTGGTGATCATCCGAATTTGTTGTCTTTTTTTTTTTGTTTTTTTAAGGTAGCTTTGTGTGGGACAGTGGGAGTGTTGGTTGAGTGACAAACAAACCTTGTATTGTAGAGAAAAAGGTTTGGGTTTGGGAAGGGATGAGTCTTGTTTTTTTCCTTTTTTTTCTTTTTTCTTTTTTGATGATCACCATGAGTTTTAATGTATAGAGTTTTTTGCTGTTTGGTTCTTGGTCCATTTGCTATGTAAATGTATTGTGGTAATTATTTGTCCCATCTTCTTGGATTATTGTTTGTTCTATCTTCTTTTTCGTTCGACATTTTATTTAGGATGTTTGGGAGTAAAATGTCTAAATTTGTTAGGATGTCTGCGAATTAGATAACATTTTCGGCATAAGAAAGGAATGTGGTTCTGGATGTTTGTGGAGTTCGCCTTATGTACCATCATGGGATTGTTAGTTTTTTCTCGATGCCTGCTCCTAAACATGAGGGATAGGGGTAGGGTGACCAGACCTATCATGTCAAAAGAGTTGTGGTGGTATGAAAGCGAGTAAAACAGATTTGAACCAACGAGACGAAGACAGTCTTCTGTTATACCAACTGACCGATATCCTGACTATTCATTTCCTACATTATCCTTTTTGTCAATAGCATATTTGAACCGATGAAACGAATATTTTGAGTCATTTGCTCTACCAACTGAGCGATATTGGCTATTTCATTTCCTACACATTATCCTTATTTATTTTCATAGCAAATCGGTGAGACGAAGATTTTGAGTCCTCTGCTCTACCAAGTGATACTGACCATTTCATTTCCTACACATTATCCTTATTGACAATAGTCACCAACTCGGTGCAGTCACGTGACCTACGACCTTCACTTTTTGAGGTTAAGACTACTTCCTAATTCTCGAACTTCCACATTTGTTGTTATTAATTAATAATTGTAGTAGATAAGAAATATGATATTAGGTGGTAGGTTAGATTGTCTTCGCATAAAGTAGGATAAAATAAAATATGTAAAGTAGGTTCAAATCTTGGTTTTTGGATCGTTAAGTTTGGTAAAATCAGCACAAAATCAAGAATCTAAGAATTTAAATTAAATATGAAATGGAAAAAAAAGTTGAGTTGATTGTTGTGGGAATCGATCCATATCCACCCAATTCTAACCAAAACCCTCACAATATATTATCTCTCCAACACAATATTCCAAATTACTTTATTTACCATATTTGATTTCAATATTTTTTCTCGGGTTACTTTTAATAAAAGTGAGTTATGATTAGAGATTTTATTTTACTCGTGAATTGTGTTCTGTGGAGGACGATTGTCTATTTGAAAATAGAGACAAAGTGAAGAACACTTTTTCTGAACACTTTTTCTCGCCATATTTAATATAAATATATTTTCAATAGGCGTTCCATTTTTTCTTTATAAAAAAAAATTATGTATTTTTAGAAAAAATAAACATTTATAAAATACTATATTTCAGAAAATTAGTGTTAAAAATTTCAAAATAACTTTAAATTATTTAACCAAACACTAAAAAAAAAAAAAAGAAAGAGAAAAAAAGTTTTACTCATTGGGCTCTTATCAAACTCATTTCACACGTGGGCCTGGGCTAAAGACTTCCAATTGTTATGAGAAGCCCAGTAACATTTGGGCCACAAACAGGCCCAATTAAGAATCCGACAAGCCCATTGTAAAGGAAATAAAATAAAAAAAGAAAAAAAGAAAAAAAGAAAAGAAATGATTAGTCATAGCTGAGTAAGTAATTATAAATAAGAGATTAGTTGAATTAAATAGTTGGTACTATTAGTTGCGTGGTGGTAAGGGAGGCGCCCATAGTCCCACACTAAAACCAGAAACCACAAACCGGAAATGGAATTCAAAACTCCGGACTTCCCAAAAACCAGGAGTCCCATTAACCTGACGTTTTTCCACGATTATCTGGGTGCGTCCTCCACACGCGCTAATCCCTCCTTTTCCCTTTCTGCGTTGCATGAACGGCACATTTCTCCCTTCTTCTTCTTCTTCTGCCACGTGTCCTCCTTCTTTCTGCTCTCCATCACCACTTGCTAATTTTAGCAAAACAAAAAGAAAATTATTTTAATAAAATATTAATCTTTTAAATTTCTTACCCCAACTTATTATTCAAATAAATAAATAAATAACATTAAATTACATTAACAAACTTACAATTGTAAAATTTGCTGATTTGAGTATTCCATTTAATGAAATTAAATATTTATTAATGCTTTAATCACAATACCTTTTATTTTTATTGATTATTTATTTAATATATTAAATTATAGTAATTTTAATTTTCGTACATTAATTACTTTGACATGTGAAGGAGCACACCACAATTAATATTTATACCATTAAATTGCACATTTTTATCAATAAATTAAATTAATCTTTTTTGTTCGTTTGTTGATTATTTATTAATTCCACTAATATTTTATGCATTTATAATTTTTATTTGATTAGATTTATAATTTAAATAATTGAAAAGAAAATATTTTTGGAAAAGAAAGTTTTTATTTATTATAAAATCACGCGATTTATACAGATTAGAAAAAAGAAAATAAAAAATTGAAACCGTTGGCTACGGGTTATAGAGCGCCCACAGACCCGCAAAACCGGACAAAACCGGCTCCTGGTTTTGGTTTTTGTCTCTTTGTCTTAAAAAAAAAAAACAAAAAACAAAACAAAACCACTCTTCTTCCATCTTCCTGAAAACCAGGAGATTTCTCTAACCTCTAATGATATTTATTTATCATTTTTAATACCGGGTGCGTGGGCCCGTATTTATTCCACGTTATGTGGCAATTCGACCATTTTCTGACAACCTCAGCGCGTTTTCCAACACGCGCCTCCTCTTTTTTTTGGCTTTTTTTGCATGTTGTCTTCTCTCCCTCCTTTATTTCCACCCGTCGTCAGCTTTGAGTTAAATTTTATTTAATTTACTATTTTGCCCTCCTTATGTTCCTTGCCACTTGCTTCCTGGGATTCCTTATTTGTGCCGCGTCGGTCGAGGGCAATTTAGAGACTGCAATAATAATAAATAATAATAATAATAATAAGTGGAATTACTCCCACGCGCCTCGGATCTCTCTGGGATTTTCTTATATTTATTAACTAGGATCAGTTTTCAAATATTTATTATTATTTTATTTGTGTAAAAAAATTAATATGTACCCATACAAGTTTTAAAATAATTATTAAAAGTAATTTAAAAATGAAAATGGATAAAGCGAGTGGAAGACACGCGAAGAAAAGCGGGTGAAGAGAAGAAAAGGAATGATATTTGGGTGCTGGTAGAGCATGGAAAAGTGGGTTCAAAATCCAAGCTCCACGAGCATGGAAATTGGAAACCGGTTATTTATTTATTTATTTATTAATATTATTATAATTATAATTATTTTAAAACTGCGTGCTCCCATTTTCCCTGAAAAACCCGGTGCCCTCCCAGATTGTATTAGCTTTCATTTCTTTCCCCCTTAAATAACCTTCTGTACTTTCTTTCTCATATCCTTCAACAAACTCTTTCCCCCATTTTTCTCTCCCAATTTTATGCTTCCGATTCCCTTCTGCCATTGCTGTTCTTGATCAAAATGCGGATGAGTTGTAATGGATGCCGAGTTCTTCGCAAAGGTTGCAGTGAAAATTGCAGTATTCGACCTTGTTTGCACTGGATCAAGAGTCCTGATTCTCAAGCCAACGCTACTGTTTTCCTCGCCAAGTTCTATGGCCGTGCTGGACTCATGAACCTTATCAACGCTGGTCCTGATCATCTCCGTCCTGGTTAGTTCTCCTTGATTTTCTCTTATTTCGGATCGGTTTCTGTTTCTGATTTTTGTGCATTTTAATTGAATTTTGTTTCCGCTTTCGTTTTCCAGCAATTTTTAGATCTCTTCTCTATGAGGCTTGTGGACGTATTGTGAATCCGATTTACGGATCGGTTGGATTGTTGTGGTCTGGTAGTTGGCAACTCTGTCAGGCGGCTGTTGAGGCCGTTCTTAAAGGTGCTCCGATCACGCCGATTAACTCTGAGGCGGCGGCTACTGGCGATGGACCGCCGTTGAAAGCCTACGATATTCGTCACGTTTCCAAGGATGAAAACTCCGCTGCATCTAACGACGGCGGAGTCAACCGGCGAGTCAAGACTCGGTGCCGGTTCAAGCGGTCTGCGGTGAAGACGAAAGCGTGTAAAGGAATCTCATCCACCGTGGATGAGTCGACTCGACGACTGTGTTCTATCGAGTTAAACCGATCGTCAAGCGGCGAGTCGTCGTTGAGTCACCAATCCGACTCGCCACATGTTGAAAACGAGAGCAAAGAAACCGATAGCATGATTTCAGTATCGACGGCGAAGTTCTCTCCTCCTCCAGTACTGCCAGTTTTATTCCGATCAGAATCCACTTCCGTACCAAAACGTCCAGGTCACGGCGGCGGCACTGTGCCAATTCCGCAAAGCGAATTAGCTCTAGAACTAACTCTGGGGATGAAGCCGGTGTCACGTGCCGAGCACGTGATTCCAATGAAGAAGCGGAAGATAGAGGCCGACGTTGGGTTGAGGCCCAATAACAACGAGGCGTGCAATACTGTATTGGGCCTTGATTTTGCAGCCTAAAAGAGTGGCCCAATAGTGAGCCCACACTCACAACGACGGCAACAACAATAGGAACAGAAAAATAATAAGCAAGAATAAATGAGTGTACAATTTTGACGGCGGGGATTTGCCATCTACGGCGACATAGAAGAGATCTCGACCATTACTTGCGCTTTCTTGTAATTTACTGTTTTAACCCTTTCCCCTTTTGTATATAAAAAATGGTCTCAATCTGTATAGAAAAGGACTGTCCTGTAAAAATGCAATAGGAGGCGAAATGGTTCTTAGATTCTCATTTATTTATTTTTTATATTTTAAAATATTATAACATTCGTATTAAAAGAACCAACATAGGACTTGTTAGTTTTTAATTTAAAAAAAGGTTAAATTAATTAAAAAAAAACCACTTTCTGCTTATTAAACATAATTATTTTTTAATTATAGTATAGATATTTTTTAAACACTATTATACTAATAATTAAGTTGTTTCCATCTAATCGTAAATATATTTGTTAGAATATTTTATAATTTTAAAGGTATTTTTAAAATATTCTAAATATTTAAAAGTATTTAAAAAAAAAATTTAGCTTAAAAAAAGAGAAAATTCAAGGTAAGGCTTATTTGGATGAAATGAATTTGGGCAGGTTCTGAATTAATTTAAGGTCGTTTAAAATGAATTTATATTTTCCTTTTTAAACTTTTTTATAAATTAATCCCTTTTAATATTATATTCCATTGTTTCAGCATGTAAATATGCTAAATAGAAGTCAACATAGTCGGGTTCAATGGATTAGGATTTGGCCGCCGACAAAATTGAAAGCATATAAAAAAACATGTAAATTAATTTTTGGTCAATTAATTATGTCTCAAAAGTCATCTTAATAAATCAATTTATAAGAATTTAAGCTATAATAAATAAAAGTTTTTCGAAAATAATTCAAATAAAAATAATTCAATTTCCGAAGCATATTAATAAAAATAGTTCAAAAAAATTTGGGTGAGAACGGGAAAATTCAAATAATTCAATCTATTTCTTTTTTTAGCAATTAATTCCAATTTCCAAATAATTTTGAGTAGAAGAAGGCCCAGTGGCCCACCCTTATCTCAAGCCCAGTAGATCAAGTCCAAGCCCAACATAAGAAAGCCTACACCCAAGCCCATTAGTAATTACTAAGCCCAAATGAAAGTCTCATCAGATTTACCTAATTATATGCATTTACCTAATTATAGTGTTACTAATCAAATTCAAAAAAAGTTTAATAACTCATTAAACACAAAATTGAATTTTAGAAATGAGAATTTAGAAATTATTGTGGACATTGATATTTAGTCCCGACCCGTCTAATTTGTGTATTTTCAAACATATATGTTCCGCGACAAGTTGATTAAACATGTTTTTTTTAGAACATGCTCAAAAGACTGTTGGTAATTTGGAACAAAGACATACATACCATGTAATTCAAACAAAAGGTTTGTACTTATAATGTTTGATTTATTCTTTGTAGGGATTAGAAAAGGACACATCTTGGCTTGGTTTCAAATTAACCACGATTCTACTATTAGATGAACAAGGATCAGATCGAGCTAACTTTACGATGTTAAACATGTCTAACCAATATCATACGTTCATAACTACGCCAAGTTATTACTAGCTTTGTAAATGTAATTCATAATATAAAAATCTAAATATTTTGATACTCGACAATAGAAAATTAATATCTCCAACCTCAATAATTAAGTGCTTGAAGTAGGCATACATACATACTATTGCTTTTAAAAATAGTAATATTTCTAGTTCTAGCCGTTTAGCGGTTTAGGGTTTAGGGTTTAGGGTTAGGTTAAATTTAGGTGTAGTTGTGGATATGAATAATGGGAAACAAGGGATCCTCACCTACCATATGGTTTGTTCTTTGTTTAGTGAAATAATTGATGTGACATGCTTTGCTTCATTTATATGAACACATAAACATCCCCCACCTCCATTTTTTTCCCATTATAACTTTTGTTTCAAAAACTTGGTATGAACGTTTTGAATGTTAGCACATGCATGTTTTTAAAAAGTTTTAAGTCCATTTTGATTATTTACAAGGTTGTTAGGGTTAGTTTCATGGGTCCTTGTGATACCCGAGTAAAAAAGAAGTACATGAATGAACCAAGACTACATATGAATGAGAGTGACGCTCGAATAAAAATGAGGTACATAAATGAACTGAGACCATATGTAGTACGTTTTGCTATGAGCAATTCTATGTTGGGTCACCTCCTGACAAAACATGGTAAAAGAACTCGTGTTGGTCTGTGGGATTAATCGTCTTCACTCTTAGGAGTGATAAGTACGTAACATGGTCTGTAACTAGGATAATAATTCGTGATTCGAATTATGGACGTTGAGCGTTCCACTTACATTCTCTTACCCAGCTAGCTGTGAATCTCGAAATCAGTTAACCGAGCAATCCCGATGATATGAAATTGAAAAAGAAATCATAAAAAAAGGGGTTGGGTGGGGGCAAAAAGGGAGAGTGAAGATGATAGGGAAAGTTGAGTCATTTTCACATATTGGTAAAGCATTATTCTTTGTTTTGTGATTTGTTGAATTTGGGGCACAAGATTTGACACATACAATTTGACATGTTTTGGAAACAAGGGGAAAGCCGACTGTATATCATTATTGAAACATTCACATGAGGACGAGGGAAGCTCGTTGTTCTTGTTTTTGTTCTTGTTCTTCGTTCTTCATCAAGGGTTTGTGTCGGCTCAACATAAGGGTCCTTTTCAAATCATATGATTTAAGTTTTGATATTTAGAAAATCGCGCATTGATCAGCGAAATGTTTGTCGGCAGTGTTTTGTTAGTTCTTGTACTTGTTTAAAAAGTACTTGTTGTTAATACCATTGTATATGGTCGTGTACTCGTGCTAACCTAGCTACACGAAATAGATTTCTCGAGGTTCTTTAGTAATATCATTATAACTTTTAAAGTCATGCGTGGAAGCAATATCAAAACCAAATACAACGAGTAGTGGAGTCCTAAGCTAAGTCTCGAATAAACCTTGAAAATTCTAGTTTCATAATGTCTTTTCAAATCGTTTTTAGTCATTATTCGATTGTAATAATTCTTGCTAAAAAGAAAGCTCGTGTTGTGGCAATTCCACCCAAGTGATAGGATTACACCTATAGCATGTTCGTGGACAATATTGAAGAATCGTGGATGAGTCTGGTTAGGAGGTGAAATGTTACTCAAACCACGAGCTAGCTAGTTCTCTTTGAATTTGCTGCTGTATGCACTCACATTTGGCTCTTTCGCGTTTTGTACGGTTAAAATCGGATGCTACGGAATTATACCCACATCTTGTCGTTTTTAAAACCTAATCGATCATTTTTAAGTGCATTTAGAAGCCTAAGAAATTAAATACATACGTCTATAACTAATTGAACTCAAATTAAAAAAAAAAAACGAACAACTTTAATAAAAAAAATAAAAAAAATTCTTACGCCAATTCTTGAAAATCCTAGGGTCATAAATACCCTTTCAAATCATTCTTAGCCATATTCGATTGTAATAATTCTTGCTAAGAAGAAAGCTCGGGTTGTGGCATCCACCCAAGTAATAGGGTAACTTCTATAGCATGTCGGTGGACAATATTGAAGGATCAATGGATAAGTTCGGGTTAGGAAGTGAAACGCCACTCAAACTCAGAGGTAGCTAATTCTCTTTAAATGTGCTGAGATGTAGCTGTTGACTCGACATCTAGGAATAAAGATTACAAGGGTTAAGGTGAATGTGAATGATGGACAACGTCATGATTCAATTTGATACATTGGATAACTCCTATAAGCTTATCTCGATATTGAATTGACATCATTTGGCTCTTCTACACTTATCTCAATAATACACACATAAAGGTGAATCGCGACCTCGTAATCATTTCAATTGTCGAGGGGCAACCACATCTTATATAACTCATATCATTTAAGGCACGACTCTCATAGATCGTATCATATCCACATAATGAGTAACTTCACATGTGACTTGTTAGGGCCTAACTCTAGTAGAATCTCATATTACATGTTATAGCTTTGTGAGATCTCATATCGGTTGGAGAGGGGAACGAAACATTCTTTATAGAGATGTGGAAACCTCTCCCTAACAGATGCGTTTCAAAACTGTGAGGCTGACGACGATACGTAATGGGCCAAAGTGAACAATATCTGCTATCGGTGAGCTTGGACTATTAAAAATGGTATTAGAGCCGGGCACCAAACAGTGTGCTAGCGATGACGCTGGCCCCAAAGAGGGGAGGATTGTGAGATCCCACATCGGTAGGGGTCGGAGCCAAATACCGAACATTTCTTATAAGAATGCATAAACCTCTACTTAATAGACGCGTTTTACAACGGTAAGGCTGACATAGATGGTTAACAATCAAAAATTGACTTGTATTTCCTTTTCATGAAAGACACGTTTTTTAACCACCCACAATGTTGAGTTTTGAAAGATATGGAATTTAAACAACCAACCCAAATTAATGGGAGGTTTCCTCATTTTTCCAAAGTCAATAATGCATTACCACAACCCACCTTTTTAGAAACCCTTGACCCAATATTGCATTTGGTTCCGTTGACAAGAACGATTTGATCTGATCTCGATCGAGTAAAATTCTTTTCATATAAGAGAAGATCGATTCGATCTGATCTCGATCAAGTAAAACCCTTTTCATATAAGAGAAGATCGATTTAATCTATCTTGATCGAACAAAACCCTTTTCATTCAATTGGGTTGGCCACGAAAAATAATATATATGATAAATTTTTATATATACGTAAAAAGTAATGACAAGTCATTTTTAGTTGTTATGATCACTAGTGGGAAAGAAGCACTAAATCGTCCTTGAATATATCCTCTCACCCTAAAGCATATGCTTCTTAATTTTTATCTTTAACGTTTAAATTTTATTAATTGTAATTAATTTTATCGAAACAATATATGTCTTACCTTATTAAAACTAAAGTAATATAAATTTATAATATATGTGCAAGTCGTATGATAAGGTAGGGAATAGTATATATTATTTATAACATAAGGTTTGCACCTTGCACGAGGCATCAATTAATTAAGACGATGCAATGATGGTTAGCCACTCCAACCTTAGCTATATATATAATAATTAATTCTATATTTGTTTCTATCTTAATTAATTAATTATATATTTTAATTTTTTTTAAAAATAATAATAATAATAAGCGAACCCTAAAAAAATTGATGGCTACCCACTACAAATTTAAAAATTAAAAATTAAATTAT